AAATGGAAAACTATCAACAGACCAATGTAGAAATGGAAAACTATTAACAAACATTTAATTGTAGATAAAGTGAACATTTGATTACCTTTGTTCATTCTTTTCAGGTACTAGCTCTTTTTAGATACAAAGTTAATAGCTTCTAACGCAGCCCTGGTATCTTCCTCTCAAGAAGATCAAGAAACTTCAGAAGTCCATTTTTAACTTTGTACATTTTTGCACTCAGCTGCGTGACCCACTGACCCCAGGTCGACCTATCGAGTGCCAGATCACCTCGGACGATTGGGTGCGAGACCTACAGATAGACAAGAGGCTTCGCCAGCTGGTGGTGCTATGTGATGAGGGGGTGCATATCATAGACTACCAGACCAACAAACAGATCTTCTTCATTCGCAACTGGCATGAGACAGCACTGACAAGGCAAAGTACCAAGTTTGGTGGGCCTCAGTACTCCATGTCAGCCATGGGCAAAATGTTTCATTTTGCTTGCACATAATACTGCGACCCTCTGTAGGCTGTTTTGTCTCAGTCACAGCCATTTTGTCTGGACACCCCCCCCCAGCTGTGCCATTTAAGGGAAAACTCAAATTGAACCAAATGTTTGAGTACGATTTGATGAAAATTTGCCAGGTGGACATGACAACAATGGGACAGGTTTGGGGTTGTGTCGAGTGAATCTTTTTGTGGCTGTCAAGGGAACTGGTGGACTCTTAATTCATTGTGTTGGACAATTGTTCTGTCTGTTACCAGGAAAGCTACCGTTTGATACTGTCAAACGGTGTTGTTGTCCAAGGTTAATTGGACAATACTTTGAAGCTAAAACTTAGTGAATCTAACTAGGAAACTGCAGTGTTTAGATTAGACCAAAAATGCTCCCTTCTGACATCATACTTGTATAGCCTCAAGTCCGTTTTTAGGCATTGGTATGTTTCATAAAAAATAGCCTTCATCCATTTGATGCAGAAGGGGCAACTGGGCATGAATAGAATGCAGTTATTGTGCTGAATTGAAATTTGGCGTTTCATCATAATTTCTTACCTTTGACGTGAAAACATTCATTGTGGATCTAATCCCAATTTGAACATGATTTTATGTGGAGATGTGAAGTTGTTTGAATACCATCGGAACATAATCCTGTATAATCATAGATTCATTTATTTGGGTTAGCAAGAAAGCTTCTCAAATTAAGTTGTCTGGCATATTGACATTTGAAGATATTTTAACATTAAATTTCTTAAAAATATGAGGTCCTTTACTTTAGTTGGTATTACAGCAAAACATCCTTTTTTGGCTGACCTCATCTTGGAAACCTTCTTGTCTTAAGGTTTCTTTGTCCATTCCGCATCCTCAGCTGTGTTTTCTACCGCCGTTTAGAGTACTTCATTACAGCTGCCATGGATGGCTCCATCAAAGTGTGGAATGCTGTAGTGTACAGTCAGGTGCATGAATTCATTGGGCACTATGATTGCGTCACAGGTGAGTCAGTTGACACCCACTTTCCAATGTGATCCACACTTTAGCTACACTATGAACATCTAACAAAAGAAGTACGGTGCAATAACAATGGACTCTCGTTGTTAGTGTGCTTTGTTTTTTTTTGTTAGATGTTTGCAGTGACACGAGATGTAATACTTTAAATCACACATGGGCTTTGCCTTGTCAATATGGGCGATCCATAAAAGTGCGCCACCAAGAGTTTGCAAGGCATTGGCCAATCACAATGCGCGAAATCTGTCGACCCTTTCCAAACTTGCATTTGGTCGACAGATTTTATGCACTGTGATTGGCCAATGCATTGCAAACTCTTGGTGGCGCACTATTGTGAAACGCCTGTATTCAACTTGAAAGGTTTGTAATAATGTCCCAACCAACCCTGCATTTTGAACTGAAGGCCTTGGCCAAATTTTTCAAAGCAAACTCTTCGAGGAAAAGGTTGCTTTCAAACAAAACTCCCGTGAGCATCATTCAGTTTCAGTTCATTTCCATTACAGCTATGATATTCGCAGTATTTTTTTATTGTTTGCACAGCCTGCTGGAGACACAGGGTTCTTATTTGTATGGAAATCTTGCTGTAGGATTGTGCAGTAGCTCCAATGTTGGTTCTCATGGAATTTCAGATCTTGTTTTGTGAACAGTGCAAGCCACTCAGTAAATGCTTTCTTCAATCTACTAAACATGGTTTTTGCCAAAACTGATTTTCACCACAGGTTTGTAAAATAAAATCTACATTGTACTTGCACAAAAACTGAGATTGCTTGTAAAAATGCACACAAAAAGGTGTTGTTTGGTTGAAGTTCAAACAGGACCTGTAACAATGTTTGTGGCTATCTGCTTTGGTAAATCTCTGCTTAGGTTAACATGTACACGTGTAGCATTGGTGAGTGAGGAATAATGGCTGGTACGCATGGGCAAGGATTCCATGCTCGACCAGTGCAAAATGTTGGCTGAATTTCTTGTTTAGCGAATGAAAATTAAAATGGGCTGTGCTGGTGGTGAGTATTACAGGGCCTGTTAACTGTTGGTCTAATCTTGTTTGTAGGCCTGGTGATGCATCCATCTGATCCTCTGCTGATATCAAGCTCCAAAGATGGCACAATAAGAGTGTGGAGACTGGACACCTTTGAACTGGTGAGGGAGGATATTTTTATTTCTACCAGCACAGCAAATTGTCATTCTGGGCATTTTTTTTCCTTTTAAAAAGTCAACTGCTTTGTCATTGTTAGGTTCCTATTTTCGTGTTGATTAGTGTCAGTGATTTTTCGTATACATCCTGGTCACAGAGGATATCAAAATAAATCTGTCGTGTGACAGTTACGGATGAAATATTTTTCGGTCATATCTCCTTGTAATAGTTGCTTTAATTTTCATCAAGAAAAAACTTATGAACCACAGGAAAGTAGTTCATCAGATTAACTGTTGGTATAAATGTTCTGGTTTGTAGACTCAAAGACTGGACGTGGGCGAGAAGATTCTGGGAATGCGTCTTGCTAACGTTAACCAGGTGTACTATTACACGCTGCACGATGTCAAGATCTACACTTTTAATCAGGTACAAAGGCCAACGTTAAGAAAACCAAACCACCAAGGGAAATCTGATTGGTTTGATCTTATATCCAATTTTTCAGCTGAAGGGATAAAAGTGTTGGAAATGAAATGTCAATCTACAGCTTTGAGCCGTCGGAGATGTCTATTTCTCTGCTACTTCTTGCTTTGATCGTTTTTTCATGTAGTTCCATCACATGTTCACTCCGGTGAGATCTTGCATTCACAAGCTTGCCTGTGTTAAGACTGCCACCTCTCCTACCAGAATCCTCTGTGCGGCTGAGGTGGGTTTTTCCCTTTTACAGTTCAGTTCTTCTCAGCCTTGTATATGGACAATTTCTGAAAGCTCTTCATCTGTGACAATTCCATTTTTATCTAGTCACCAATACAAGTTGCAAGTACCATATGGTTCACCCTTACGGGGTACTTAGGTATTTCACAGTGATTATAATCTAATCCCCACATGGTAACTCTATGTGATAGATGGGATTGAAGGAACATTACTAGTCTGCCTGACCAGGTGTTGGTCTGGGAAGGTTTAATATTGTGAGGAAAATTTGGACAGAGTTTCTGGAGGCTTGGAAATTTTGACTGCCCACAATGTTTTGGTCCATTATCGTAGAGTAACCATATTTTACAACAATTGCATTGTCTCCACAAATACAAATGGTCGAGTACAAATTGTTCAGCGTGTAGCCATTGTTTGTAGCCATTGTTTGGCAGAGACAAGGGCTTATTCATTACTAACACAGGGCAAGGGTTCCCCTCGTTTTCTGTGTTTTCTCCCAATGATGCAATCTACATTCAGAATTCACATCTTGGCATTAACAGAAAAAAACCCCTATTTAGCTTGTTATAGTTGAGCTCTGAAGACAAATGACACTGCGTTCGATTTTGGATGCTTCCATATTGATTTCAACAAGTGAAATCAGAAAAAACATGTTTTCTCTTAAAGGTGCTCTTTAACACAATCTGAACATTGCTGCATTTCTGACAGTCATACTTTGTTTTAGTTTGTTTTCGGATACTGTTGCATGCTGGGCCTAAAGAATAAATTTATACCAACATGGCCAATGATATTCCTGTTGAATGACAACTCCTCCAACCCTTAGGACGGTGGTGTACGCTTGATTTCTGCTGTATCAGGAACCATCTTGACCATCATTTACCCAATGGCCACATACCAGGTGAGAGCACTGATGTCCTGTGTGTTGTTCTCTCCTGGTTTTAATCAAAGCATCTGACGAGTTGGATCCATTTTTCTTAGCCCCAATTTAAATCTTACTTCTCAGGGCATTTGTACTTCTTACTTAGTTCGTTAGATCCTATAGGTTTGGGAGCAGTTTGCTTGGCTTACCGGTACATTCGTTTTTTGCCGGGTGTCAGATCTTGACAGATCTTGTGTACGATCCCAAGCATGATATGATCTACACTGTCATGGCCACCGGTGACGTGCTGGTCTTCAACAGCGCCACCAATCCCTGCACGGCAGACCAGCTGTGGGTGCCGGGCCTGCCCGATGAAAGTGTGCTGTGCTTGGCACTATTCAAGCTGGTGAGTGCATGCTACTGATTTCAATGGCATGTGTACACACCTCACAGTGGCTGCATGGAACTTGCCGGCACTCAAGTGCAGTCACGTTGGGTCACCGTGTTTGCTCTCTCCATTTCATCCTTGTCAACTATATTCATTTGATCAAAACACAGAGTTCTTGGGATATGCTCCTAATCCTTGACACATCTAGTGGACTGCCTCAGCTCTTTAATACTGGGCGTATTGTATCGTTTGTGTCCATTTCCTCATTACTTGCAGAGGTTTGTTTTTCTATCAGAATGATGTTGGGGGATATTTTTGAAATGGTAATTTTTGGGCTGAATGCAGAAAATATCACTGTGTCCATTTTGAAGGCTAACACGTACTTCAGGTATTGCAAGTGAAAGTTCCAAAATCTGGATCACTTTTTAAGAAACAAGTGTTTGGACTCACAAACCTCTTCTCCTTTTTTTCACACGTAAGCACAAATTGTCAGGGTGTTGTTTTTTTTGTGATGGCCGGCTTTCAGGATTGCGGATTGGGTCAGAGAGAGTCTGCAACCTGCGAATCCCTTATCTTTGCCGGTCTCAACAGCGGACAGATTATTCTCCTTGAAGCCCAGCAGCACTTCATGAAGACACTAGTTAAGGCTCACCTTGGCCAGGTATCAGCCCTGGAGTGTTCACACGGCCAATATGAAGGAGGCTGCGAGAGCATTGGTACAGCAGACAGGCTGATGTCTTGTGGTTCAGACAAGGTTTGTTCTGTCACTCCTAAAGGCTTATTTTACACAGTCTATTCAGGACATTCTGAGCTCCCTTGACTTTAGACTAAAGATCTTCCATACCTCTTTGAAGTTACTAGGAGCCTTTGTAAACCCTCCCAGATCCCCACCCTGTGCAGAAAACCTGATTCAAAGAAATATCTAGCCCCATGTAAAGCAATAATCTTACATCATCTTGAATCTTGCAATTTAAAACCCTCAACCCCCCCAGTGGATTTTGGAGGACCTAGGAAGCTAATTACTCTCAGGCATTGGTTTTTCAAAGTACTTTTTAACCCTCTTTCAAAAATGTGTTGATATTTCAGTTGTGTTTTTGTCTCTTGTTTATTTGATTTGGACAGGTTGTCCGAGTCTGGGCTGTTGAGCTGACAGGTCCAAAAAGCTTACAAGTTAAATTGACATGCAGAAAAATGGTGAGTGGGAGAAACCAACAGTAACAATTAACATGATTAAGGATCATAGTAATTGTGTTCAACACACTTTTGCATAGACTTTTTGGGTTCGTCAATTCATACTGTGCAATTACTTTCCCGTCATATCTTTCTTGAAGTCAGTTCTTATTTTCATTTTTATCTGCAGTGTTCCCTTTGTCTATGTCCATCCATCTGTCTTAACATCTATTCTGACTTTAAGACTTTTTTTTTCATTTGACTAACATTAAAATTTGTGTACCATCTTCATTGAAGTCTATGATGCATATTCCTTTTACATCTGTCACCCTGTTCCATTGTCCATCACCTAGATCACCTGCTCTCTCTGTCCATCTCTCATATCCATGCTAGGATATTCACTGTGCATGGTCTTGCCTAACAAGTGAGTCTTGTCGGCCATGTTGTGTGTTATTCTCAACCATTGATCAATAACCACTGGTTACTAGCATGCTATTGATGAATAACGTCCATGTATACTGTACCTTGTTCCTAAGGTGCAAACGACTCTATGTTTAAACTGATTTTTCCTGCTGCCACGTGATATGCAGGACTTACATACATGTATGTATAATGACTCTGAAGACTGTTTGAAAAAAATAGTTTGAGCCTAGATAACTATAATTCTTAAGTGCACGTACCCAGTGTTCCACTTGCAATTGAAAATTGATGTAAATGTATAACAAAATCTGAAGCAGTGAGTCACCTTTGATCAGGCCATGTTGGCCTGATTAGACAGGCCTTGTTTTGTTGCATATCTGAGTGACGTGGTCTCATGTATTCAAAGTTTGGAAGGGGTACTTATGTTGTTGTTATGTTAGTTTTGCCGTACACATTGGTTCAAATTATTTCACACTCAAAGGGAATGTGAAGAGGAATTTGTGTGACAGCACTGGACTCAATTTCACTGTGAACACATTTCATCTTTTGCGTATTTTACCATGATTGCTTTGCCTGCATTTACACTTTTGCGCAATGTGTAAGGCAGATTTAAGGAGAGCGCAAACCTCTTATCTATCTTCTGTGGAAAAACACCTGTTTCTTCCTAGTGTAATTCACGTGTACGAGCTGCTTGATGAGCTGGAAACCAATGACGCTGTCATTGGAGATGAGAATTGCAACTCGTCAAAGATGTTGCAAAGGACCCGATTGCATACCCATCTCAAAGAGCATGAGCATACAAAGATGGTGAGCTCTCTTTGATTTGTTTTGGGTCTGTCGGTATCAATGTTTTAAAATTTATGACATTTGGTTCAGTTTAAATGTGGTTTGCACTTGTAAGTCCTGTGTTTTGCAAGCCCTTTTGGTGGGGCCAAAATTTAAGGTCATCTTCACCTATCTGAATTTTTATGCAATATTTACGTGCCCTTTTAGGGCCATTAGCCTTGCGATTTGTATGTACAAGTGCATTTCCAAAACGACTCATACTCGAATACAAGCCTGAATCCTTGGGAAATGCAAAGTATTTGAACCAATTTTTGGTGTACCTTTGTCAAGCCATGTGTGAATGAACACTGTTATTGTTTACTGATCATTGAAGCCTTTCAGTCACTGTAGTTTCGTCAGCTCTAGTTATCCTGTACATGTTTTCTCCCGGTGTAAGTGATATTTCATTTGAAGTTATACATGTGACCCTGGTTATTAGGAGTCGAATAATGCGAGAGGTCGCTCCAGTTAAGATTTCTTGATGTAATTTTTTTTTTCTGGAAAAAAGGAAACGGAGAGATAATAAATAATAAGTCTTTCCTCATCTCCGGTCAGCATTCGAATAATGCTGATGAGAGTCCCGTTTACGTCGCCAATTCTGATTGGATAATGGATTGTAATAAAAGAAGAAATTTAAAAGAAGAAACTTGGGTAAAGCTACAAAATTATGAAGGGGGAATATCTTTCTTTATGTCCCATGATGACATGCATATGGGGAGACACTATTGGACTGAACTTCAATTCAGCATATTTGTTTTTACTGTTTTAATTGCACCAAACCAGGTTACAGCCCTCTGTAGTTGCCAGTCCCTTGGCCTGTTTGCGACAACTAGCAATGATGGATTGGTTAAGGTACATGGAAATGAATTGATTTTTCTCTTTAAATCCAGCCCAATACGGGCGATTCACAGTAGTGCACCTCTCAGAGTTTGCAACATGTTGGCCAATCACAGTGTGCAAAATCTGTCAACCCAATGCGTGTTTGGAAAGGGTCAACAGATTTCATGTGTTGTGATTGACCAACGCGTTGCAAACTCTTGGAGGCGCACTTCTGTGAATTGCCCGTTTTCCTTCCTCCCCTATCATTTTAAAATGAATTTTAGTATTGTGCCAGGATCACAAGTGGCTGCCTCTGAAAGTTGGGGCTATGGCTGTGAATGATACATGTGTCTGTGGAATTAAGCCACTGTCTGGTGGCTGCAGGTACTACTTTGTGGTTGTAGCCAGTTGAGTGGAATACAATCTTCATTGTATCTCAGTATGTGATTGAAAGCAGCAATTTCAAAACTTCAGCCACAGAAATTCCAATCCATCTTCCCAATCATTTGTCATCAACAGTCACAAATTTGTTATGTTATCAAGTCATCTTTAAGATAGCAATTCTTTTTTTTGAAAATTGATACTGCCTATACTTGCAGCTCTGGGATTTGACCAACACATTAGTCAGAGAACTGTGCTTTGATGCGTCCCTACGCAGTGTCTGCTTTGCTAATGAGCGCGGCGATCTCCTGGTGGGCTTCCAAAACCATGTCAGGTACGACTCTACACCCTCTCTTACTTTTAGTTCATCTGCCAAGAGTTGGTGATGCACATTCAGGAGACTCACTGTCAGCGTAAGACCTGGATTTCCTTCATCTTCCCTGTGTGTTCCACGAGTGCTCGCTTATCCTCAAGAAAACTTGAAGCCTAGCATAAAGACATGATGAGAGGCCAAACATGAACTGTGTAATAGGTAGTCTGAGTGAAATATTTCATTGCTACTAAAAATCAAACTTGCATACCAAGCTTAACCCTCTGGCTATTCCAATTCCTTCAGACATCAGAGGATGCGAAAGTAGGGTACAAAAGAAAAGGGAACTTGTATTGAAACTTATATACTTGAGTTTTCTGATGTAATTTTGTTTAATATTTCTCTGTCCCTTTTGTCATAGTTATATCACTGTAAGTACATACCTGCCTCTGTATTACATGGAAAAGCTGCTAGATGGGATGAACTTCAAGGATGAGGAAGTTGAAGAACCAATCAGATTTAATCCTGACCTTCAACTCTGGTAACCAGGCTTCCATATGTAGTCGTTACCTCATTACCGACATACCGACTGCTCATCATGATGGCTGCAATCACTCTTAGCTGTGGCTTAAGATTATACACTAGTCTATGGTCGTTCCTGCAGTTACTACCCATTGAGTCGTGCATAATGTCAAGTCACAGCCACATGGAACACTGTCTGATAGGCTCTACCCAAATCTCGTGTCAAGAGCCAAGTCTAGGTCTTTGCTGGTTACACATACATATGGGCGTGTTCTGACATCTGTATAGATAACTCTGGAAGCCTGCGTATATTGGGCAGTGGAAATTTTGTGATATATGTGACGCAAAATCCTTACTGTGCCTCAAACCTCTCAATGCTCTCTTGAAATAAGCAGTTTGTTTTGACGGATTTTCAGGATCAAGGAAGGTACATAGACACTTAGCTCAGCCACTGTTCAGTGAAGTGTACACATTCACACAAAAGTCAATGTACACATAATTTGTAACCCCATGCTAAATATTCTTGCTGCCATGGCTGTAAATTTAAAACATTGGAACCATTTCACCGGGCATGTTTTATAGCACCAAAGTCTCATTTGCTAGCTGTCACTTGAACTGGGCAGCTAGCAGACTAATGTAGAATTAAACCAAGTCTTATTTGATTTACACTTAGTTTGACTTCCTGTTTGATTTATAAAATTCTCTTCCCCCCAGGTTTAACATTGCCAACTTACCCACGTTCCCGACTGATGCAGTCCTGCGGCGTCACATACAGCAGTCTGCAGACCACCTGCAGAGGCATCGGCTAAGTATAGCTCCCCCTAGAGACAGGGGAGATAGCGAGGCCATATCGTCCCCAGTGGTTGCGAGCAGCTTGAGCCCAGGTGAGATTTCACCCAGCAGTTGTCATCATCAAGCGAATCATGTATATTCCTGTGATTTATGTCCTCCATTGAAGGGGAAACTGGTGTGAAGTCACAGTGACTTCAGATGAGCAAAACAATCCTTGCTCTTCTCCCCTCGAGTCCAGTATTTTGTTTACAGTATCTCCACTACAAAATTGTTGTGGAAGTGTGTTGCAGAGGTCAGCCTTTAAAGACACTGTACTTGTCAGGAATAAATTCATTTCAGTTACACGTGGGAAACGATAAGAAACAGATTGATTCCTCCTTTATCTTAAAAGACTTGGGGGAGGGGGTGACATTCGTAAGTTTTCCTGCTGAGGTGTTTTGGACATTTTAACACCAATTGTCTCTAAATCACTGTCAAATGTCAAATTTTGGAATACGGGCAGCTTAAAAAATCTGAAACTTTTTCCATGGAGAGTGCAGTTGCATGCTTTGTTGAATGGTAACAACTAAATTTTCTGTCCACTTGGATGGATACTTCACAGATAATCATATGATAATGATGGATGTCTTTGAAAAAAGTTTTGTTGGAAATCGAGATCTGATAAAGGGGGATGGAATCTCTGCTCATTGAATTTGGCTTTGAGGAGGTAGCAAAAATCCATGCTGTTTGAGGGTGAACTATCAGTGACCATGAAAAGCAGAATATGTCACCTCATGTTTCATCATTTTTGTTGATGGTTCAGTTGAGTATGAGTCGTCGTCCCCTACCCTGTCCTTTGATGAACTGGACAAACTAAGCCATGCCAAGCCTCGTGTTCGGTTCGGCAGCCTCAGACCCCCTCTAGGTGAGCCAGTCGCAAAGAAACAACAGGAAGGAGATGAGTTAGACTCTGAAAAGCCCAAAGAATCTCAGATTCAAGGTGAGAGTTTTGCCTCGCTGATGATCACACTTGGTAGAAGTTAATACTTGGAAGACACTTCTCAAGAACATCAGGCATCAAGGCAAGAGTGACGCCAGTTAGACTTGGCGATGCAAATAGTGACCTTTGTGATTTCAGAAGTTTTCAGCACAATGGCCTGTTGTCATATACATGCACTACATGATTTTGGGTTTCTAGTCTTTGTAAGCTCCTTTTTTGTCAAGCTTCTTATTTTCCTTTTACGACATTTGTCCACAAATCTTTCCCTCAAATGTTGACCCCTAAAATAATCCCTCACAGTAATGGAATGAAGAGGTTACATCTCATTGATCTGTTGTCGTGGAAACAGATGAAATTGAGGCTGAGGAACCCACCCAGGTTAAGGTTGAAGAAGCGGCCGGTGACAGGGAAGATGTGATGGAGGGAGAAGAGGAGGCGGAGCTTAAAGGACTTTCTGAGGAGGAGGAAGAAGAGGATTATAACCCATGGCCCATTGCACCAGATGGTGAGACAGCTCAAGTTCAGTGTCCAATCCAGGCCTTAGTTTTTTTAATTGGATATTTAGTGCTCTGCAGGTTGATCTGAGTAATGCACCTTGGTAGTTTAAAAACATCAAATTGTTTTCTTAACTATAAAGCTAGGCCATAATTCTTTGTTAACCCTAACCCGAACATTATAAGTCAACAGGTGTTTTTTTGTATCTTAGGCAAATGAACTAGGGACCACAATGAACATTTCACCGTTGTACATTTTACAAGCTGTCTATCGGGTATCTGAATTGACCAACTCATTTACTAGTATTTTATAAGACTACATGTACATAGCGATAGCAGTGTATATTAACTGCCATTTTGTGGAATATTCACATCTGAATGAATTTCCATCTTGATCTGTGTCTTGATCGAAGACAGCCCGAAGAAATAAAAAAGAGTGGCTTTTTAACAACCAGAGGGTTTGTTGTCATCTCTGCCCATTACATGGACCAGCCACATCACAGATGATGTAACCCTGCATCAAAAAGCCCTTCATTTCTTGTCACAGTTTTGGATTCTTCCTGGTTTTGAAAAGTGGAAAGAAGTAACAAGATACACAAAAACAGCATTGTAACAAAGCAGCTGCCGATGTTTGCCTTAATTCCTGAGTTAAAATGGGCTTTTTGTCTAATGTTAAGTTTTTAGACTGTGAAGGAAAGTTGAAACTGCTGTTCTGCTAGGTCAGTGTTTTGGATCTCAGAAGAAAATTGAAGTGATGGTTCCCAAACTGCGGAAGGAGAAGTACTTCAATCAATTTACGTTTTGATTAAGCTTCAGTTGGTTTGCCTATACTGTTTGAAATCCACTTCAGGTTATATCCCAAACTCGGTCATCCGAAGCATCATGGGATACCGTCATACACTGGAACCAATACCAGAATCACCATGGAAACTCCAGCCTGTAAGTACAATAATCGTAGTAGGTGGACTCCCAGACAGCACAAGTTTGGATGGAATGTTAAGTTTTATGATACTTTAATACGTTCTGTGTTACCATTGTGGGCACATGGCAAAGGATTTTCTTGTCCTCATATTCAATCTTTTGTATAAAAAGGCATATCCTGTTATAAAAATAAAGTGAGCTGGCCTTGAAAAATGCCTCCATTGTCAATTTGTAATTTTAGAACTATTGCAAGTGTTCAAGTAACAAACCTGGTGTTGTGGACTTCTTTCAAGGACACTAAAACCCGCTACAAACTTTCTCTCTTTCATATAAAACTGGTTTTGTTTCATTTGTCTGGTAGGTACCATCAGGATTCAAAGCAGTGAAGACCCCAGTTGAATCAGAGTCTTATGTGAGTTTAATATCTAGACATTGGTTTTACATATACATGTATTGTGGTTTAGCCTCTGTGATTTTAAAGGGATCGCAGGCAAAGAAGTAGGCCTATGCATTGATTGCCTGGACTTTCAGAAAATTCCTTTGCGAATAAAAAGTTCTGGCAGATATGTTGACTTTAATAAACCATGTTGAAAAACCTTATTTATGGATGTTATTCTATGTTGCAGGAATTTAAGATGGCAAGAGTTTGCCTCTTAAAAAAATCAAATTGGCTGAGAAACTCCCCTGATCTGTTAAGATCAGCTTTTAGTAAAAAGCAAACGTGTTCATTTGATCTGTATTGACAAAAGCATTACTTGAGAAATCAAAGAAGACTATGTGTGTGTCTAAAGATGTTGTTATGAACTTACTCAAGTGAACAAAATATTGCGTAAAAGGGGTTTTGGGATGGCAATGTAGCTAATTATCGATGAGAATTCGTGAGGGCTCAACATTTCCCTGAACTTGTTGTTTTCAATATATGCCATTGTCTATGACCAGGAGCACCACGAGCCCTTTATCTGGGCTCCCTCATCCTCAGAAGAGGAAGAAGAGTTTGACTTGCTGTCTTTAGAGGACCTCCCAGATGAAGCCTGTAAGAGCAGGATCTTCCAGGAGCTGGGAGTAGCCAACATGAGCGTGACAGAACGGAGGAAGACACTGGAGAAGCTACAGCTGTCCGGGATGGGTGGGTTTTACACCGGGTATCCAGTGCCAATCTGAAATCCAACTTTATCTGATTTGTAGTGATGATTACAGATTTGGGTCTAGGGGATGCTTTACCCTGTCGGCAAAAATGGGACAAAAGAAAAAAGTTAGAGAAGAGAAGAAACAGGGAAAGGAGAAAATAGAACAAGGCTTTGAAATCGCAAGCTTTCATGTTAATGCCTTGGAACCGGCATTCTTCCACTGCTGATAGTTTGTCATTTTGCCAGCATTGAGTGACATTTATTATTTGGCCAGCATAGAGTGAAGTATGTCATTTTGCCAGCATTGAGTGACGTTTATTATTTGGCCAGCATTGAGTGAAGTTTGTCATTTTGCCAGCATTGAGTGAAGTTCATTATTTGGCCAGCATTATGTGAAGTATTTTAGTTTGCCAGTGTTGATTAAAGTTTGTCATTTTGCCAGTGTTGAGTGAAATTTGTCATTTTGCCAGTGTTGAGTGCACCTCTCCTGAAAGAACCATGCCTCCTTTCTGGGTTAGGATTAGCTTTAAGTGCAACCCTTATTTAGATTCATCCAAAATTTTGAAGAGGCTATCATAAATTTTTCAGCCTTCCAATTATTCTAAAGGTAACTTTCTTTTGAGGGGAGGGGTCATGGAAATACCGCAGTAGGCCTACTTCATCTGTCATCGCTGGATATCCTCCATGAGTGTACAGTCCTAATGCTAAAATTGGTCTAAAACTGATTGGATGAGACAGAATTACTGTGATGGAGGCACACTCATACACAAGTCCTTAAGCTTGCGAGCTCACACACTTTGGCTAGTCTCCCTATACACCTGTAGGTCTCTCTCAAGGGACGTCACTTCCTACAGATTAAAGTGCATCGGCAGGTTATATTTCAGTGTTTATGATGTGCATGAACGTGCACCTGTTGGCATTGTATACGCAGTTGCAATTTTCCTACAAAGATGGTGTCCAGTGAGAGAGATCTGTTGGTCAAAGAGGAACGTAAGAGATACATACATGCCATGTGCAAGTGTATGAGGTGCTATCACAGTAATTGTTTACAACTGCCTCTGGTCAATCTTCCCTCTATTTGAAATGTAACGTTCAATAAAAACCCCAAAGCTACTGACAAGTAGTTGCCGTCCATCGTTGATTGATTGTGTCCTGTCTGTACAGCATTGCCAGGGAAGGTGTCTATCCCTCAGCTTGAAGCTCTTGGAGTAAAAGCCAAGGTATGTCTGGTGCCAGCCAGAAATCAATACCCGAAATAAATATCTTAATGGTTTATGAAAAACACTTTTTCACCAATATGTTTTCACACATGTAGAGTGGATAATCGCACTGGCAGTCCTTAATTTTGCCATCCCTTTGGATATTTTTGTAGAATTTGTCATGAATGTAGGATTTACAGCCATCTGTTATCTACTACGCTACCAAAATTTCTAGCCCGAGGTAAAAGTTTTGTTAATCAAGTTTGTGACTTTCGCAGCTCTACTCCTTAATTATACATGAATATTTTGCATGAGCAAGATACCTGCATATAATGACTAAGTTATTTGCTGGCTGCTGAATAATGCATATTGTCATGGCAATGTCAGCATTTCCTTTAAATCTATGACCAGTTTGTTTAATACTTTCTGTTTGACAGGGTAAAGGTGCCAAGCGAAGAAAGTCCAGAGGAATTAATGCAGTAGAAACTGCAGTAGTAAGACAGAAGGTGTGTTCACGAATTAGACTTTTACAAGCAAAATATGCAGTGGTCTGCACAGAACTGCAATCACAAAGTACATGTAGACTATTCTTGCAACTAATGAACCTTAAGTTGTACCTTGACTGGAAAGGTGTCATCTTGTATGAGGGCAGGCAATTTCCTTACAGCTTCTGGGATTTCACTCTTTGTTGTGCATTGTTACAATCCTTTCTTCTTCTCAGATTGGTAGAACTCTGGCTTCCACCTGTATTTTATTTGCTGACATGGAAAACAGTGTAGCTCGTGGTACTGCCTATATAACATCTGGCACAAGGTCAAAAATGACCTTGTGTCAGATGTCACAGGGTCAAAAATAACAATCTGTGTCATCTGATACAAGGTTAAAATGACCTTAGGCAGTCTCCTGACCCAGAATCTGAGGCATTGGGGGCTGCAGGCGGACTACTCTTGCTGCTATATGGTCTTAAATCATTGGTACCATCTGCAACGTACATGTAAGGTCTGTGAAGGTTTTTATCTTTTCGAAATTTCTTGCAGCAGTTGAGAACGTCGGGTATGAAGATGGAGCTGGAGGAATCGGAGGACGAGGAGGAAGAGTTGGTCATGGAATACACAACCCCAGAGCTTTTGAGGCACATCGCTGCTAACAGCTGGTTCCCGAGGGGAGTTACTCTGAAAGTGGAACCTGTAGTCAGAACACTGCGTAAGTGTATGCCAACGTGTCATGTTGTCTGATATGTACTCTTGGGAGAGTACTGTACAGATAAAAAAATGCTTGTGGCTGCAATGGTAATAATAATTTCATGGAGTGACAGATCTAGTTTTCTATTGCACAAGGCAAAGCCAATTGCAGTCACCAAATAACATTATTATTTCTATTGCACAAATGTTACAGATTAATTACTTACTCGTTTTATAGGGTGCCTCAATAAGTTCTCATCTGGCGGGAAGATAGAATGTTCTTTTACATTTATTGGTATCACTGGAAACTATGAATTTGCATAAAGAGCTGCAACCAAGCTTAGAAGCAGCACGTGCACGTAGAGTTCCACATGTAACAGGTGTAATCAATGGGTAACCATTCAGTTATGTAGTACTTGTTCCATGGGATCCAAATGCTTGATCTTCAAGATCATGCCCTTGGATATTTTCTGATATCATAAGGCAGACCCTGTCTCTTTTTAATAGAGTACATTTCTTTGGATCCTGAACGCATCCTGATTGAGAATAAGGGACCGATTGCAGCCAGTAGTGGTCTAGTTTTCCATCTAAGCACTGCTGCCAGTCAACTTTGATATTGCCACAGCAATTTCACTGACCAGTTTGTCTGGGGTATAGTTGTTTGGACTACATTGAAGACTCATTGCCCTAAGTGAACAGGGAAGATCTTGATGATGACTCAAAGGGATGGTTTGGACCAATTTATCATTATAAAAAATGCTAGGGAAATGGGTGTGAAGTTGTGTTACCACAGTATGCAGGGTTTTCTCAGTTGTGCTTTTTTCAACCAATGCCATTTGCTTGTAGAAAAGTAAGATGTTTCAGTAATGTTGAATGAAAAGTGGACACCCTCTGTTTGGTTTCAGTGGATCTATTGGATGATGTTGCAGATCTTCAGTATAGGCCTGTTTGCGAGGCCGTGGTCCAAATATACAAGTAAGTCTGCACATTTCTGCACAAAACTGTCTACTTATTTCCCTTCCAAAATGCTCATGTCAAAAATACTTTGGTGACTGTTATGTTTCTAAATGTTCACGTGGTTGTGCATCAGTGAACACAAACTTCACAACAAAGATTCATCCAAGAAATAGGGTACTTTGAATTCAATCTCCGTTCATGATGAACAAGAGTGGAAATTTTCACGTAGCAACGATTGTGGGTCAGCACACTCACCTGTAGTGTAACTAGGGGAAAATATCTGAGGGGTATCCGGAGATGAGCATGCTTTTTTTTTAAGAAACGGTGAAAGCAAACAACTTTTGGTTTGTACATTTGCTGTTTACATTTCACGATGCCAAGGGGGGGGATACAGATTTACAGGTTGGGGGCATCTGTCTCCTACAGCACTACCGCTGATGGCACTGTCATGGGTAGCATAGGGGTATACATGTACACACAAGTGTGTGTTTGCCTGCAACCGGGGACTCCCTATTGTTCCTCTTTTGCTTGTATTTTTTTAGAAGACCACCCATACATGTATGTTTTGCCCACAAATGTCAATCGGGGACCTTCTGCATTTTGAATTAAAGGATGTTATGGAAGGACTCCAAGTCTAGAAGTTGGCCTCACTGAGGCTGAAAACCATGTACCCAACACTGAAACTAGTCCTATCTTATCTTTTGGATTTCAAATTTCTTGAATCTCAGGGAATTAGGTATCGGTGATCATCTGATGGAGACCGTCCTCCGGGCTTACCGTGACCAACTGAAGAGCAGTCGAGCCATTGTCAGAGCCAATGCTGTCAAAACGCTGACAGCGTTTGGTCTGGACCGAAGGGATGTCATACTGAGCTTACTTCCAGCACTAACGGATGAAATGGTACTTTTTAACACTGTAGGGGCAGATCGAGAGAGCTGACAGGAGCCATGCCCCCCACAAAAAAGGACAAACTTTTTGGTGTTTTAAATACAATTAAAAGATAATTTCATTTCATTCCTTCTAAATGTGCGTCAAAAGCCCCCAAAGCGGCCATAGAAACTTACGACAGACATATAAATGCACAGACGGGCAGCTCCTTCTGAAAACAGTGGCGGGGTACCGTAGCTAAGAAAAAAATCCTGTTTACCTTAATCTGGCCCATTTAGATTCGAAAAAATGCCTGCAACATTTGAAAAGAAGAGATAGCTTTACAAAAGAGTAATGAAGGAAAATAGTTTTAGAGCACGTGACATGTAAACAAATGCATGCCACGTGCATTATGCGCAATTTGCACTGAACACGCTGCCATCCTTTGTTCCGCCCACTGCTTAAATCACGGTTGTACGCATAAGACTGGTGGTCTGTGAAGCTTACATTTAGAGATTCCCAAATTTTGAGCTACCTGAAAAAAATCTCCAGGACATAAAATGTTACATGTAGAAATTCCCAAATTTTGGGCCCCCTTAAAAACATTTTGGCCCCCCTCCTAGTCGTGGATCCACCCTTGTGGCTTGGGTCAATGTCATCTGGGTATTACATTCACACAAAATAAATTTATAACTGACACTAGTAGTTTCCCCGCATCCCTTACATTGTAGATTATGAGCTTTTCAGCGAGACGCTGAATGAAAAGTCAGCTGGTAACAACTAACAGATAAATATGAATTTCAGATTAGGAATTACAAATATTCTCCTTCTAATTCTAAAAGTATTTTAATCAGTTGCATGGCCAGGATGAATTTGTATTCAATGAAATGCAATTTGACCCTTTCGAGAGCATATGTGGCTTGTAATATTCAAAATCTTTGGCAGCAGATGTATAGAGTTTAGACTATTTGCAAAAGTTTAAGGCCACCTGGAATTTTATTGGTATTTCTGTCACTGGGCCTGCATTACATTGTCTCATTGAATGATTATGTAACATGATTTTACAGTGGCGCATAACATCAGTGTAGTACTATATACCCATTTGAATGAAATTGTGTGCAATGGCAGGTTTTTATGACATTTTGTCTGTAAAGCAGCACTGGTAAAAAAAAGCCTGTCTAAGTAATCAGGCACACTAAATATTAGACTGTTAACATTTCATATCATGGAAATGTAGTCACAGTGCTGTTTAACCAAGATACTAAGGTTGCACATTGAAAATAAACACAAGTTGCCATAATTATTGGTTTAATTTTGGTTTTTCTTCAGGTTAATGCATTTTGTATGGGTGATCCTAAACTTTTGCAAATGACTGTATGCAATTAGACGCCATAACTGCTGTGGCTCTGCGCTCATGCACACATTTTTCAGCTTGACACGGGCATGTATTTGGCAAATCACGACACGTGATTGGTCAAAGAGGCATGAAACGCGCGCTTACCACCTTTTCACAAGCGTTGTGCCAACGCAGTAACGGCTTCAAATTCTGGTCGTGGAATTACACCATACAAGACTAGAGGAAGATATACGTGCAAACTGTGCAAATCAACCGTTCACCAATGTCTGGTCTGTTTTTTTTTTTGCCAGGCTGATGTGAGAGACGAGACCATGAAAGCCGTGGACGTCCTGGCGGGGATCCATGACAGATCCAGCCTGATGGGCTACCTGGAGAAGATCGGTTTCTTGAAACCATATCAAGGCCAGGAGGTATGCCATCTGTTTGTGAGGCCTTGTTGGCTAATGTGGAGTGTGCCCCCACCCAAGGTGTGTTTCCATTGTGGGAAGGTTAACAGTGTACATTGTTTTTCTGTGCCTCTGTCATGGATTGGTTGCAAGTTGAAGGTAATATGCATTATTTTGAGGAACAAAAACCCAGTTGCTGTACAATTATAAAAATGGCTTACCTGAAAGGAATTTAAAACTGGTATCTGTCATCCTGTGAAATCATTCAAACTGGAATGCTAATATTTTCATGGAACAGGGGTTCAGTATTCTCTGGTGACCTCTGAGGTAAACAATCAAGGGTAGGCCAATTTGTTTCAAATACTCCATCTGCTAACAGACACGGTGCAGAGGATGCGCTTGCCAGCACATTCTTTGTACATGCAGGAATGGCAGAAATGGACTCTATTCATCGGGGTCTTTGCGAGGCAAATTAAGCGAGCTGCATTTTGACAGTTAAAACCAATACATGATCTGGTTTTTCCCTCACAGTCTTAAACCATTTCAGTGCAATGGTTTCCAAAAATTAATTAAAAAAAACCCCACCCAAATCCCTCCAATTTATATAATTACAGCAATGGCAAATGATGTTTGTTACCTTCAAGCACACAGACTTGACTCAATAACTATAGGCTCCAAATGTATGCATTTATTATTTAATCACAAATTCCGTATGTTACAATACACTGTACAATAGAGACACACTGATTTACAACTTGGTTGAGTTGATGGCGTATGAAGGTGCTTCATACAACTCCTTTACCCAGGCTGTAAGTGTTGACGCTACAGAGGGAGGAGAACTGGAGAACCCAGGTTAAAGACCCTTGTGGCACAGGAAATAACTCCACTCACATGACCACATGTGACCTGGGCTGGGAAGTGAACCCTGAACCAAGGTGTTGAAGGGCAAGTGCTTTATGCCCTGGTCACCTGTGCCACCATGTAATTGTGCATGTAATTAAAGCTGTTCAAAGAAGACTGTGGCCACAGCAGGACTGGGCTTTTGCAAATTAATTTCCCCTAAAATTGTCCTTTTTTTAATGTTGCCTTTCATGAACATGCCCGATTTAGAAATGGACTGCCTTTTCCACAGGAGGTGATACAGGACCTGGCCCGTCGCTACACCCCAGACCTGTCCCATCGGCCTGCTCTGCATCCCTCCCACATCCAGCTGGTGGCTCGTCGGAGGCCGGGGACACTACCAGAGGAGCGGCTCCCTTCACCCCTGGAGGGTATGCCTTGCGTCTCACCCGTACTCAACGTCCACAACTGGCTGTCTCAATACCAGATGGAGTTGGGCCAGCGTCCCAGTGGAGAGGACATCTTCCTCGGGGTAGGCCTTGGATTTTAAAACCTGTCTTAGTGGCAGCTTTGTAAATTTGATTGAATACACTCTTGATCCAACTTGTACTCTGAGATTGTGAGTCAACTATTTGAAGCAGCATTGCTTGATTTGGGTCACCTTTGGAATGATTGGTTCATCATTAACTTGCTTTCCATCGAGATCCCACTAAAGAAGGACACAAAAGAAAGAATCCTTCAGATCATTTCTGAGTATGGCTATGAAGCTTTCCTGCTGGTCATATTTCCTATATGATTCCCTTATTTTGGCAGTATTATAAATAATAGTCTTCGTTTTCATGTTTTTGTTTCGGGTGGTCGATTAAGAATGATTTTGACACAGAGCCACCAACTTACGAAGCAGTGGAACCATGGAGAGAGAAAATATCCTCTGTACAAAGGAAGTATGTGCCATTTGCAAGCCAGGGGCAGAGGAGAACCTCTCAACCACCCACTGGAAGGAGAAGGGCCTCTATGAGGTACCCTGCATCTGGGAAACCCATGCCGCTTCGGACAGACCAGCAGTTGACACTAGATCGGAGGACCACTAGTGGAGGGTACCCTCTTGCCAGTATGGGTCAGCAAGTTGCAGGTGGGACATTTAAGCGTGTTGTTACTCCCACTAAACAACGAAAGACAATGCACATCGAGATCCTTCAGGCTCATGAAGAATCCATGGGGGCGGAGAAAGCAAAAATGGAGAACCAAATGCAAGTATGTATTGAAACAACTTAATTGTAGTTTGCTATCTTAGACATCACAGCAGAGTCACGAGCTAGTCATATGAACTGTGATGGAGACCTTCCATTCAATGCTATGCCACCGTACTTTTAATATCTGGCCGAGTTCAGTCACTGACCATTTGCCGACCACTGGTCGTTCATTCCTGGTAACCAGTGAATTACATATTCCCGGAATACCAGGCAAAATCAAATAGTAATTGACAAATGGTCCCTGGTTGAATGTGGCTCATCACACGTGACATGACATAACTGGATTAATGGCAATTCTGATTTAATATCAAAATTTATTCCAACTTTGCCCCAGCCAGTTGAACAAGGTTGCATCATGAGATGAGCCCTTTGAAACTTTCTATCAATTTGAATATTGTGTTTCCTTTTTCATAAATGTTGTTTCTTTCTGAATTACAGGCTGATCATACTGCTGTTGTTGAAGTAGGTTTTTCTTGTGATTTTTCTAGTTGAGACTACGTCATCACCGTGACCGCTATGAGAAGCTCATGCAGCGACAACAACAGGAAAAACATCAGCAACCCGTCCTTGTCCCCACGAAGGCAGGATTGTACTCTTACTACAGCAAGCGAGCTCAGCTCGAGGCATCAACAAAGGACTCAGAATTATACGAGACGGATGTGTCAGAGTGGAGTGAGACTGCCCTTGCCCGCGCCAAAGCCGTCATTGCGGCATTCGCTGAGATGCCGTCCCAGCCCTGCAAGAAGCCCCGAGACTGGGAGTTCCCGAGTGAATCCGGGGTCGGAGGGTCCAGCCTCCTAGGGAGCAGCGGGCCACAAGGTTGCCCTGCTCCTAACAAGGAGCCAGCAGGTGGGGAGGCGGCTGATGGCAGCAGTGGCTTCTTCACTGAGACCGACCTCTTGGGTCAGGGGTCATTGCCGGGGAGGCCCAGGTCGAAGCTGACTGTGGAGAACTTGCAACGCCACGATGCATTGAGTGGGAAGGCCAAGGTGCTGATGGATGACGTAAGCCTGCTTCCCTTGCTTGTCAACAATGGATGCTTTTGAGTTGCTTCCACAGGGTAACCATGACCTGGGTTGGCCATGTGTTTTGTGTTTCACATAAGGGAGATGGGGGGATGAGGTTGAACCTGAGTCGACTTGTTGAAACTATTTGCACACACGCATTGGCTGTGTGAATTAACTGTGAATGGGTATATTCTTGCTGACAACCAAGTTTCATCCGTCCATAGTTTCACTGACGTGACTCCTACAATGGATAGTTGGAGTTGTTTAGTTTACCATTTGGAACCAGACATGGTTGCATTGGTGATTATCAGTAACCTTTTCCATAATTAGAGTGGACAAAATGTTCAGTCTAGTACTCTGAGTAAGGTCTATGCCAAAAAAGGTCAACTGGCTAGTAGGTATATCCAGACAGGCAAATTGTCTCATGACTGTGTTTGAACCTGTTGACATGAGCATTCAGCCTTTCACTACGTTCTTCATTATTAGTTTCCACTTTATGTGCCGTAATTGATGTTTTGGCCTACAAATCAGGAAAGAGAAATTCAAGATTCCACAGTCGTTTGGTTTGCATCATATTTCAAAGGACATCAGTATTATTTTAATTTCTTTAAAAGCAGATATTTATCTGTCCTCCCAATTTCATGATGAGTTGTATCACTGTCTTCACAGGGCACTCTCTCAACTCGAACAATTATCTGCCGACAAATACAAAGTAAGTTCAATTATTAAAACTCAGTGAATGTGATTTTAAAATTATAAATTAAAATTTTGTCTTTTAAAATCACTGTTATGTATTTCAGTGGTGCTTTAAAATATACACAAATTTTATTCTGCCATGTGATTAGAAACACTGAACAATTCATGAGAAGGAAGTTTAACAATGAAAGTTTGAAATTGAAATGTGTGCTCGTCTACTGAATTCTGTCAACACCAGAAGACTGGAGGGATTTCTTCAGGCTGCCCTCTGTTCAGCGGAGGAAGAAGGAAAGGGCCGCCGTGCTGGCCAAGCGCAAACCAGCCCCTGACCTTCAGCCAATCAAATGCATTTCCTCGGGGGTCAAAGTTGACAGGTCACGGGGGGAGCGGGGACAGAGGTTATTGGAAGAGGTGGCTGTGGACGGAAGGCAGAGGGGAAACAAAGGGAAGGGGCCGGGGGAAGTGATTTACTCACCTGTTCCGGAGAAACTGACAATGAATACCAAGAACAGGTGGGGCACATTTTTGGGAGAAAGTTTTGTATTTGTTATTTTTGTCAGAGTACTGGCCGTGGTCAGTTTTCGGTTGCTTCTTTGGCTTTCTGACCAGCTCTCAAGACGCTCAAGGTCAGTAGTCAGTCTGTAGTTTGTATTTGAAAGAGAATGTTGAGGAAGATGCTCTGATGCATCTCTCAGTTTTACATTCTGGTAAATATAGGCACATGGGTGAAATCATGGTTGACAATTTCTCTTGATAATTTTAATCATGAAGGATTTATTTACGAAGGACCTATTACCCCAGAGTACACATAGCTCCGGGGACTTGTAGCTCATTCACAAGGGTTGAATCCAGATTGATTAACACATAGGAGTACTAAAGGAGGGGAGCAAGGCTTTACATGTTCCTTTGTTCTGCATCTGCCCTGGAGTTAGTTGGGATGGGTCACACTTCTTATTTGCAATCACATTATCTGAAAAACTTCGGCCTTGGCATTGGATGTGTGCATGTTCATATACTTCACTGTTTCGAAGGATGTCGGTTTTTTTCCGTGGATAAATGCATTGATGTCCAAGTTTGAGAAAGTTGGTTTTTTGATGTGTTAAGTTTCAGAATTTTCAAGAAGGCTGCAACTACTTTATGAATTCAAACAGTCAAACAGTCATCTGAATTGAGATATTCTTTGCTCTTTGAGTGAGCTGTAACTCCCAAAAAAATATAATACTTTCTAGGGTCCCATTGGCTCCTTTTTGCTTAAAGTAATGAGAGTTTAGAGCATTACCAAGCAAAAAGTATGGACCAGGCCTTATACTTTTGCCCACCTTTACACATCAGGTCAACAGGTGTTAGCCACTACGGCACCTTGGATATGATGTGGACAATAGATGGTCCAATCATTGCTGAAGCTGGAGAAGGTCACCACAAGGTCGTCTCCATGACAGCAATTCATTCAAAACCTGGCCCGGCTAAGGAGAGTCACAAACAGTGTCTCCGACAACAGATGCTGTTCCCTTCCTTGTATAACATGAGCGTCTTGGATGAAAACCGCAAAAGGTGATGTAGAGAATGATGTAGTGTACATGTACGTGCCGTCTATCTACGAGTACTTTGAAAATACCGCTTGTCTGCACGTGCTACCGCCATTTTGGTTTTGCCTATTTTTGACCTTCCTAAGTTGTGGCTCCCAGCACACATTCAGCAATAATGTTTTTTATGTATCGTTATCTTACCTTCACAGCCTTAACTTTCTTCCTTCTCATATGATCATGGCTGTCCCATGAACAATTGTTTTGAAACTTTGCACGCATGTAAAGACATCTATGATGAGTACATCTATCACGTTTCAATGTAATCCGACAAAGGGTTTGATTTTTAAGATATTATTTACATGTGCAGTTTTCAATAACGTATTCATTCATGTTGGTCTGTTCATTGAGCATGTGTCAATGGGAAAAGATTTTGGCTCATCTGTCATGGAAAAGTGAACTTTTGAAAGAGTGGTGTGTCTGATTTTCATTTAATTGGCATCAAAACGACCCCAAGACAAATGGAAAACCCTGAAGGCTTGACATATGATACAAAAGTTATTGACGATATTGGAGAAAATGTATAGGGGTGGATCTCACTTAATACAGAATTTTGGCTTTAACGGGCATGTACATTTGTGTGGATTCTGTTCCTATGTACCTGGTTTTAACTCAAAATGTCTGCACTGGAACTCTACACAGAAATAGTCAAGGAAGAATTCCATGGCTCATAGCATGAAATTGGGCTTTGGTTACTATAGAGCCAGACGAGGGCACAACTAGTAATGTTGTGCTTTCCCAAACTGAATTCATTTCAGACATGCAGCTGTGGCCAGAGCAAAAGAGAATTCCCCCCACTTCCCCGATCTGAAGCCCCTCCCTCCTGCGTCAGAGAAAGTTACTTACAGATGGGAAACTCCGGAGCCTGTGGTCTGTACGAAGGAGCTGAAGAAGAGGGCATCATTGCTGCAGACTGTGAATGAATCAAGGGTGACTGAAGTTGCAAAAGAACAGCGTGGTCAGGAGAGGGTGAGCTTTAGGCCTGTTGCTGAACAAGTGTACGTTTTTCAAGATGTAGCCGAAATATGAACTGAACGAAGTGTGATATCATTTACTACCATATTGAAAATTGCTAGATCTTCAAAATTTGTTAAGATGTAGAGCTTCCTTCACAAGAATGTAATGAACTTCTACATTACATTCTTGAAAAGATTTAATTTCGCAGTACACTATCAAATGTTACTTTTGTTTCGAGGCAGTAATGCTATGCTCTCCCTCTTGGAAATATAAAAAATTGTTTGGCATACAAATGCATAGCCAGCACGAATGGCACATCTTTAGTGTTATTAATAAGAAAGAAAACCTTTTTGGGTCCCCTATTTAGTGAGAGGATAGTTACACTGGTACTTTGCAGTCCCTTCGATATTTTTTTTAGATTATGCAGGCTTTACTGGAACTCAAAATGTAGGATCTTTCATATTCCATTTCTTTCCTTGCTGTCCTTTATTATGCCCCTCCACCTTAGAACTGCTTATAAATATCCGACTAATCCCCCCCCACAGGAACCTGGCAATAGGACAACTCACGTCTACCTTCCCTTCCTGTCGCTGGACGTGCCCGAGACACCAGTAGTGCCGCAGAACTCGGTCATCTCGCACCAGGGCTCCGTCCGTCTGCCCAAGATCCCTACCGCCGGTGCGGCGGCCGGGAACAAGTCCATGATGGAAGACATACAGGAGCAAATAGAAGACAAACCCAGGAGCACCATCACCATTCCCCTGCAGTGATAACAGCCATATCCCTTGATAAACGAGACAACGTGCAATTTGGCATTTCTCTAGAATTTGACACTTCTTCAGAAATGAGATGATACTTCACAACACAACAGTCACTAAAATGATCAAGTTCTGTGTAAACAGTTTTACGGGGATGATTTACATCAGATTCTGTTTTCTATCGAGGGTTTAAGAATCATTTTGTTGAAGGAAGGGGTGGTTTGGTTAAATTTCTTGAATAAAACTAGGAAGATTAATTGGGGATATATGCACAGATTGTTGCATGGTTACAGTGAATTAAGTTTTGTTATATTTCTCTTGAAGATATACATGTAGTAGTGTCACTTGCTCTGAATAAATAATAGACTCCTACCATGAAATTGAATTCATAAACTCTAAGTTAACCCCTGCTATTTGCTAACCTTTGGGGAAAAAAATGGAAAAAAATGGAATGGATGTTTCCAGGAATTCTGCAAACAGGGCCTTTGCAATTTATAAATGGCCTGTACAAATAAAGCAGGTTCATTATTTTAGAAAGGAAAGCAGCAAAACCATGACCAGAAATCATGGGGCAGGTACGGTAGACAGCAGTCTGTGAAACAGCTCTGCATGGTGTCTCTTGGAAGGCAACAGAAATTGATGGGTAACTTATTGTACTTTCCGTCCACAGAATTGCACAAAACAAAATGTATGTACAATTGTGCAGGGTGTCACTCTTTTCATAGAGAGTGGTATATAAGTTGCCTGCTTCACAACATGATTGCTTTTGTGCACTTGGTAAATGAACCTTTGGGTTTTTAAACAAGCAGCGAAAGAATTGATTTCAGGAATTGTATAACTATCAGCTTTCATGAGTTCTTGATGGATTAAAAAAAAAATTGAAACCTGTTATATGACTCTACTTTTAATAAGAATACAAAACATGGAAATGAAACTCAAAGGTGATAAGGCATTACCTTTTTTAATTACATTTGCTTTATGATTTAAAACTGAGATTTTCAGTCAAAAACAGAGAAAAGATTTGAAGAAAATAAATTGGACAACACATCTATAAAAGTCAGCACTGTGGAGTCTGTGGTTAGTAAAGCTTCTCTTTCCATACGATTTGCAATTTTAATTAACGCCAGTTTTCTCTCCAAACTGTGTGCCCTCCGGCATTTGGAGGCAATTGTTTTCAGATGCAAACAACATGGTAAGGGAATTTCTATCACCATTTTTGTGCTAAATGTGAGCAAAAACTAAAACTTGATTAAAATTTGATGTTTTTCATTATTCTTTGATATTAACAGGAACATCACAAGAAAATTTCTTGGGCCAAAAGTAAGATGTAACCCCTCGTTTAATTTAACACACAAATTAGAAATAATCCACGATTGCTTCCCATTCAAATAAAATCCAAAATTTAATCATGCAGCTTGCCGATAATTTGAACCCAAAAGAAAAATAAAAACTATTTAAAGTAACTTTTCCAATATTAAGAAATATCAATTTTTGAACAAATCACACAAAAATGAACAAACTTGGCATTTCATATATTGAAAGATTAATTTATGCCGGCGTTAAGCAGGCTTTCATATAACAAGCACATTTAATTTACATTGGCAAAAATGTGACCCTGATTGCAAAACTTTTGAGCTTGTGCTGTTTGGCAAGAGTAATCCCCCTCCCTTGAAAAATGACGAATTGAAACTACAAATCTGGCATATAAATGCTCAGGTTTGAATATTTTTTCTTTGGGAAACCTTTTATCCGTATGCACAAGCCTTTAGATCCCAAAGTAGGCACACACATATTCATTACCAGGTTGTGAGGGCAACACACTTGCTGAAAATATAGACAATATGGGGACCAGAAAGATTGTGGGGATGAATTATCCCCACGATGCTGTTCTGACTTTCCAAACAAAAGAAAGTATCCCCTCAATGCAACGAAGGCCTCCCCATTCATTACCGTCCTGAGTTTGAGGGACTATAAATGTCTTGTACTGTAGTAACTGGTAATCCAAAACACTGTATAATGGAGACACAAAAGTCCTTGCAATCTGGTCCACATTTTCCAAACAAAAGCAGTGCAACCTAAGGCTGAGTGCAAGGAGCCTTTGCCCTGGTCCATTTCTCCCTGTGAACAGGGCCCACAGGCCTTTACAAAGTTCAACTTTGAATGAATCCTTCATGACTGAAACACTTAGGCTCTGGAAACAAGCTCTAACGTCAACTTGGTGCAATAGAAATGTAGTTGGATCATGTCATCATATCTCAAACCATGTCTACAAAGGATTTCAATGAATTCCGAGTACTGTGAATCAGACCACTGCAGAAATTTATTTTTGAGTTAAAATTTCAGAGCAAAAGTGACAAAAGATACAAGTCTCATACTACGGTTGATCACTCATGCTTGAACTTGTTCCTAACTGCATGAAAATATGGAACTAAGTGTCTCAATCAGTTGAAATTGCTCAGGTGCACACAGAGCAATGATCAGCTTTGTGTCTTGAATGTTAATTTGATGATTTCTGCCCGGCCCGTAGGTTGACTTATATTCACACTGTAATTGCAGTGTGGTCCAAGAGTTGCAGGATGTCACTAGCTTTTTTGAAACATGATGGACAAGAGGGTACTGTTTGGAGTGGTTCAGTTTGGAGGAAACAAAAGATTTTACCCAAACCAGTTACTGCCCTCCTTTTCTGTCGGCCATACTGTACCTCAGATAGGCTGATAGGATTGAATCCCACCCGAGCGTGGGTGCAACTTTTTTTTGGCAACTTCTCTGACTTCATTGAGAATACAGTGTGAATATATTTTGGTGTTAGGGCAAAGCCTACCAGTAATATAAAAAAGAAAACAGCAGTTTGCCAGTCAGCAGATGAGAATGCAATATTCAAAAATGAATGTAACTTTGTCTATAGATTACTGAATTGTGACATCTGTTGGCATGACGTTGGTTCTACACATTGACTCGTTGACTGATAGACCCCTTACAAAAGCATAGGGAATGAGGGATACATGTAGGAATTGAACCAACTTTTTGTATTGAACCATTGCCTTGGCAACTGACTCTAATTCCCTTTGCTTCCCCACACAGGCTTGACAGGAAGAAAATCTGGCACACTATACAGACAGAAAAAGCTGTCAAATTATGTAAAATCTAAATCAAAACTAAGCTAGGATCTTAAATTCTCCGGCCTGTGGCCTCCGTCAATCGGAACTGTCGTAATATTTTTTGGCCCGTGACCGTCGCTCCGTTATCTTTTTCAGGGTCTCGTAGGCAGCCCGGATCTGCATGAACTTTTCCGCGGCCTCCTCCTGGTTTCCGTTGCGATTTTTGTCAGGGTGATACTCTCGGGCAAGCTCTCGGTAGCGTTTTGTGATTTCCTCCTTGGTGGCATTCTTGGAGAGTCCCAAAACCTGTTAATACAAACATGGTGTGCATGTACAATGTATAAGAGAGAGGCATACATGTAATTAAGTCATTGCACCTGCAGGTATTGGAACGACAATCAAAGGTTGTAATGTAAGTTACGTGTAAAGTTATCTCAAAAATGACGCTATTCTCACGGCCATCCTCTAGTTATTTTCTGTTCTTCCTTGCTTGTTACATTACTTGTGAATTGGTAAGGGATTGATTTGTAATTGACTTCATTACATCTGAGTATGTAACATTCATCTGAGGCCTTCGGTGGAGTTGGACTAGAATAATCAAACCTTGGGTCTGAGTCACACAGTCCAGTATTAAGTCAGAGTCTAATTATTAAGTTATGAATACACATGTACATATCCATGGAATCTGACTTGGAGTCAAGAGTCATGGTTGCATACGTCCTTTGTGTGCACTCGGTTGTCCAGAAAAGCTTAAACAATTTCAAATGGAATAAATGGCACTTTTCAAAACATTTAACTTTGAAAGGATGTCCAATAGTTTTCATACACTGAGGAGAAGTACATGTACATAAATGAGGATGCACCAAGTGATTCTGAGAAAAAGTCATGACACACATTTAGTCCCCTACAAAAGTGTAACTTGCAACTTGCCTCATATGCATTTTGTTCTCCCTCAGGATCTAAAGCTGCCACAAAACGAGTCCACATATTCTCCCAACCTCTCTCTTGCCACTCGCTGAAGAGCTGCTTGACGGTCTCTTTGAAGTCCCTCCAGAAGGGAGAATTGAAGAAGTGATCCACGGCATCTCTGAACTTGATGGTTTCACCGTCGGAGGTGGTGACAGAGGCATTGAAGTAAAGAGCCGAGCCCCACATGGATATGACCAAAGAACCTAAAAAGTGCACCAGACGGCAAAAATTGGGTTTTTTTTAAATGCATGTACATGAAAAAGACGGTTCATGGTTCATATCAGCACAGGGCTTACAATTCACTGTTGATGACCACTGATCACCTGATTACTGGTATATCCAAGATAGTTCTGATTTGCAATTTTTTTTTTATTTGCAAAGGTGTGCAAGGCTGTAAAAATCTACTCTGCATTCATGTATCCTTGCAGCACATGGAATGCATATTACGGCCATGTTGGATTGAGACCATTGCAGGAGAATATTTCCTCCATGAAAGCACTTAATTTATAAATGAAAAATAATTTGGGAAAAAATGACACTCATTTTCTCTAGTGGAAGACACGCATACATCCCAAAATTCTTGAATGATCTACACTCATACCTGCTAAACAAAGCACCAATACTCGTGTGCAAAATCCTTTCTGTCTGACATTCTCCGTTGGTTGAAACCTGCGATCCCACTGGGACAGAATAGAGCTGAGTAAAGCCATGTACACCAAAAAATGTGGATTGCCGGGAAACCAGAGAGCTGGGATGCAGGCCCCCAACAGGGCCCACTTAAAGGACGTCCTTTCCCAGCCGATGTTCCCCACCGTGTGGACAGCTATAGTGATGGCCAAAGGCACCAGGCAGCACCTCAACACTGGATTCTCGGAATGGTACTCGTCGGACACGGCCACCGTGGAGAGGAAGCCCATGAACGTCCCAAAGCACACCTGGCCAATGAAGCGCACGGGGTTGAACGGTGGTGATTTGCGCACTTGGATCATTTCCGTCAGACATGACATGTAGTATGGCTCTTTGTTGGCGTAGTCCACGTATGATGGTAGGCGCCAAATGTCGCGAAACCAGCCCAAGCCGAAAATTCCGCCCCATGTTGACCACCAGATGAAAGCTTGTCTGTCACGGCCCAAGTAGAAATGGTGTAAGCCCAACCAGCCAAATAACAGCCAAAGCACATATGCCACAAAAAGATTCTTGGCCATTGCAGGCACTGGACTTTAAACAAGTAACTGCAATGTGTTAGCACCCAGGATCACAACAGAATGCCTTCCCAGTGTTCAAAGTTAAAAGTTCTGCTTGCAGGAATGGAGGCACAAACTACATCTCTAGGGTATCTATAAATGAAATAAAACCAAAGATGAGCTCTGCATTTTACAGTAATCCAGTCACACATTAACCCTATCACTCCTCAATCTTTCACCTGTTGGAGGACTGAGGAGTGTTAGGGTTAATTGATGGAAAAACTGTGGCACTAAACTAAGCAAGAGATACACGCTGAGAATGTTAGATGTGCAAATACATGTATTTGTGTGTGCAAATTTAGGGTAGGCCTCCATGAACCATGCCTACTCCACGATAAATCCCGTGTGGGACATATTTTCACATAGACGAACTAATTTCTCCCAACAGTTAACTACATGTAGTGTCTTCATCTCCTCCATGCCGAGGCAGTGTATGTCATGTAAAAGCAATAACATGAGCTACAAAGTCCAAATTTGCAAGGAAATATTGAGGTATTTACATGTATGTAGAAAACACAATTTTTTGGACCAGTCTCATAGGGTTGGTGCACAGGGTGTCAAGCGGTGTCCATCTGCGTAGGGCTATCCATAAGGTACGCACGAAGGAGAGGGTTGGTGCCGTTGCGTACGCCATGCGTACAGGGAGAGGGGGGTCTGAAAAGTGGGCATTTCCTGCATACATACTTTATGGAAAATGGCCCCATGGAACTCTCTCTCTAGGTTTTCTGTAATGTTAGGCCTCTTCGGTGGGCCTCATGTAAATGTACAGGTATGCTGCATAAATGTAACTTATTAACATTACTGCAACATGTTTCTAGGAGCCGTGGCCATGGACAAGGAATGGAAATAGCATGAATGGTTGAATTTGGTGTAAGAAGGTTGGGGGGGGGTGTTACAAGAGTTACGCGCAATCTAACATTAATCTTAGACCTTGTGCAAATTGATTGTACTCCTTCCTGAGTTGATTATCCTATGAATGGATGTTATTCAAAGGTAAATCAACTCAATATGAAGTAGCAACTGCAATAAATTCACTCAAGGTTCAAACTTTCTCTTAGCTGAAATTTGATTTTCTTTTGACTGCTTCGTATCTGAACGCAATTTCGGAAGTGGGTGTTTGCCGTATTTCTTTAAACCAGTCTTGTCTGTACAATCTCTTACTTATATGTGATATTTCAGATATTTCAGTACAAATGCCTGTCACCAATCACTATCACTCTTTGTTGGATTCCCCCGTATCTAGAATTAATGCCCTACTTCTTGAAACCACAGACTCAGCTCTTGTTTAAACAACCTCATGTCACAATTTCTTAGCTAATATGTTTGTCTCATCTAAAATTGGATTTCCTGTGACTGTTCACTGTGACTGTATCTGAATGCAATTCTATGACTGGGACTAGGTGTTTACAGTAATATTTTATACTAGTCTTGTCTATACAATCTCTCATTTATTTTGTCTAACTTATTTTAATCGCAGTGGCTGTTGTTACGGCAACCTTAATCCTAACCGACAAGCATATTGTTTGGCTTACACTACACAGTACTACAAAATACTAAGTAATAGTCTGAGCCTGAAGGACCTAGCGCTACAGATTACTACTTCTGGCTAGGTTACATGTACTTCCATTGTTACTCATACAGATAACAATAAAGCCATGCATTCATAGTGCCACAGCTCTGTATGGTACATTGTCTTACATGTGTCTATTGTATCTTATGGCTTCACAGAACAATAAAGTCAGGTCCTCTTACAATACAAGCAACAGCGCTCAGTACTACAGTTTACTACAAGTAGTAATTTGTAGTATTACATGTATGTAGGGTTAGGGTTAATGCATCTCCCAGCTTTTATCGTTATGGCACTGCACTGCACAAGCGCGCCAACTTATTTCTTTACTTCTTTGCAGATTTCTTTATTTCCCTTTAAAAAAACCCTCCAAGGCCTCCGTAAGAAAAGAAAAAAAGATTCCTGCTTAGGCCTATACAATTAGAAACCAACATAAAAAATACAATTACGGTATAAAACATGAAATTTAGGCAAAAAAAAAAAAACAATCCATGCCAGATTCGAACTCACACACCGGTGGTTCCAAATCTTCCACCTTGACCATTCAGCTACAAACGTTCAGCAATCCAGGTAATTTTAAAATATATAAACCGTCGTGATGATCAGCTACATATACATGTACATGTACGTCATCGCACTTGCACAGTTCAGTGCCGTGACATTAGAAATTGAGAAATGCGTAACGATAGCCACTTCGCATTTTAATATATAGGCCTATTCCTAGATCTGTGGGGTCTGACGTCCGCCCCCCTCCCACACTTAATTGCGATTGTTGGCTCCCTGCAGGCCAATGCAATGCTGTACATGAGGTTGCCGATAAACAGCGACCTATTTAATCCCACCTCGATAGCAATCCGTACCCGTGTGCGGTGAATGGGAGTGGGGCGGATGTCGGACCCCACAGTTCTGAGGGTAACATAGGCCTACGTGTAATATTCTAATTTCAAGCTGGTTTTATCTCTATATTTATGTCTATATTAGAGAGCCACTTGATAGTGATTAGGTTCGCTTTCAGTAATCCTTTGGGCTATTTTCTGTTTGTCCGCTATGGTTTGGTTGTCCTGAGAAATAAGAAATGAAATGAAAAATGGTAACACATTTATACCACGGTCACAACTTCAGCAGGCAATAGGCCTATGCCCCAAAACATAAAAAATAGGCCTGCATAGGGCATGATGATGTTTAGGGCCTAGGCCTAAGTAAAAACGGAAGTAGGTCTACCGAAGGGGCCTAAACATGCTAAATGCAGAGACAAAAATGATGGAAAGACATACACGTAGGCCTACCTGACCTGCCTTCAAACATATGTCAAACTAGGAAAAATGCGTGTACAGAAGCACATGTAGAAACGCACTATACCGTGATCGACCTGTAGTACTGGTATCAACCTGTGATTTGCCAATGCCATGCCTATTTTGATCTAAACGACGCCTCCATTAATTTTGTTTTACAACTCGTTAATTGTTTCCACTGTACTCCAGCTTAGCTGGCTGCATGCAGCTGAAAGTGAGGGCGCTATACTGGCTATGGATAGGCGGGCGCAGCCTGTGTTTGATTTTGGTTAGCAACGGAGGGCTAGCGTACGGAGCTGCGATTAGATTACAGGCAGAATGGCGATGCATCATTCGTGTCATTGCATGTTATCAGAAAGTGTATTTGTAGACGTGTAACTTAATATGTAAGTGTGTCCATAGCATGTTCAGTAACCCTGTAACTTGCTAGAGGAGCGGTATAGAGCCACCGGTAGGTCCAGGTCTCACTGCCTTTGCCAGAATATTCTGCAGTTGCTCCAAACATGCTCCAAACTTCGACATGTGCATGTTGATTTATTATCATTAATAAGGGGCACCCACCACATAGAGTTAGCTGGCCACCACACACCTGCAACTTAAAACATCCCATAGTGGAGGTTGTAGCAGTACTTAGAAGAAAATGGCTTCCCTTAAACAGAGCCCTTTGTGCCATAGGCCATGCTCCTTTGTACGATAGAGAATACACGAAGGACACTAAAAACAGGTCTATTTTCACAGTCACAGTATCTTCTCAAAATAATATGTGTCTAACAAAAGTGGTTTCATCCACTTTTGTGGAACTAAAGCGTGCTTGAGTTTTATGGCAAACTGACCAAACTGCTGTGAAACTTGAGGTCAAGTGACGGTCCATCATGTCCATTGCAATTCAGTAAGTTCCTCCCCCCCTCCCCGGGTCTCACAAACCGTAGCAGCATGTACATGCTCATGTAGTCTTAAATTACCTACAACATCTACTGTACCTACGGTCCAGTACTAGTCTGCCATCAAGTTTTTCTTGACTGTGCAACAGCATTGCAGATGGTGTGATGGATAGAGAAACGGGCCATCTGCCCATCTCAGTTCAGGATGTTATCTCTTCGCTTGTCTGGGTCAAAGTCATCGCCCTGGGAACAGCAGCGGCGGGCAAAACCTGCATCATTAAACATTTCTGCGAAGACAAGGTAGGCCTTCATGTACTCGCAGGTTGATGCTAATGACTTCATGTATGTGTTCATGGTACTGTGAGGTCTGACGTCCGCCCTGTTGGACCCCACAGTTCTGGGGGTAGTGTGCGCGGTACACTGAAACAACTGTGAACTATGAACAACACGTTGCAGCAAATATCGCTCCTTGAGAGTGTCTCAGACATAAGGAAAACACTGTGAGAACTTTGTAGAAATCTTGTGCTTGCCAATGTCGACATTTGTGGCGTCCCTTGTTTACTGAAAAGTAGCTTTGATATCTTGTATGAAAACTCTGAAATTGGGGGCCAAAACAACACCATACCTGGGGATAGTTTGCTATGGGAATGCCATCTATAACTGCTTAAGATCACAAGTAATTCGGATTGTAAGTTGATGAACTCTTTTCTCACTTTGTTTTCAGTTTTCTGCAGTGTATCAGCCAACAGTAGGGGTGGACTATGGGTTCAAGATTCAGAAGGTCAAGAATCATGAATGTAAGTTGTGAGATTGGACACGCCAAGAACTGAAACACGGAGGGACTTTCCAAATTTTAGCTTCATCGGTGTCTATATCTTTAGGCCCCATTTTTATGCACGTTGTAACCCTCTTGAGTTAGGCCATGCATGCTCAGTGCAGCTCTGTTCTGTGCTGCAGTTCTAAACGATTGGTTGTTTAATTGTGCAAGGTCAAAATCAGGGCAATGTCTTTTGATTCTGAATGCTTGAAACTGATCATGAAACCTGAAATGATGGCAGCTCAAGACATACTGAGACAAAGCTAAGAATTTGGAAAACAAACACAAAAAGCCATAGTCAAACTGTTATTTAAATTTTTGCTGAGCACTCTTGTGAAAGTATTTTGTAGTTTCTCTTGCAAGAGCGTTGGTCATTTTTTTGACATGAACTCTAAACTCTGATCATGAATGCTGCATGGAATGTTGGTCTTTAACTGATATACTTCAACCCTTCCAGCCTAGGGGCCTGCTAAATTCCCTTGGACAGAAACCTGGCAAAATGCACCCATATCTCAAATTCAAAGTTGCTTTAATTTTTGTCTTGCACGTACATGTCAATGCAAATACATGTATGACACCACAATAATCAGTGACTCATAATCATGGTCATGTTATTAATCTCTGCACAGTCGTTGCCTCTTCCCTAATCAGTGTTCTCTGTTTACAATGATCTCACGTGCAGTGAGGGTTCATCTTTGGGATCTGTCGGGGCAACTGGAGTACGCAGAAGTACGGAGTGAACTGTACGGTGGAACGCAGGCCTGCATTTTGGTATTTGACGTGACGAACCGTAACTCGTTTGAAAGCCTGGAATATTGGTTGAAGGAGGCAGCGAGACATGGTGGAGGGGCTGTGCATACGGTGGTAGTGGCAAACAAGGTATATCGCCTAAACTGTACCCAGAAATGACATTTGAAGCAAGATATGGGACGGAGAGAACCCCCCTGCCTTTGTGTTGGTCATTGTTTGATCGGAATCTCAGGAATTCTTTACAGACTTCCAGGGGAGATGGGTTAGCTAACAGTAGTCTAGAGTGTGTATAGGGATTGGACAAGTAAGGGTGGGTACCCCTCCATCCCATATCTTGCCTGGTATAAGAAATTATACTGCATTTCTGAACATCCTTATTGTATTGTAAAGTAGCTAGCAGAAGCAGTGTCAAAAATATTCCTTTTGTGAGGTAGTGAAGTTCTGAAAAGGAGAGGCTTTATCTTCCCTGCAGTTTTGCTGAAATGCTCAGAGCATCCCACTACCGATGGCCACGGTCTCCTTTTAGCATCTTTCCAGTATTAAAATCATTATGAATAAGTGCTTTTGTAAAAGCGCCTTTAAAATAAAACTCCTTGTTTCACCCCTTGTAAGATTGACATCAGAGGCAAGCGGGCAGTCTCTGCTGAGGAGGCCATCAAATGGGCTGCAGCTAAGAAACTCAAGTAAGTTCAGTACAGAACAGGATCGCTCACTATGATAAGGACGTCGTCCACAAGTGGGCATTGGGCAGTGGATGAATTCTAAGGGTGACCCCAATCGTATTGTCACCAAGACCCATTGTAATTAAAACTATTTTGAGATCAACAAAATATCGGTCTGAATTCCAAGTTATTAAGATGAGCAGTGAAAGAGGCATGTGTCATTTTGTCATTGTTCACACTTTTATAAACTTGGTCTCATGTGACCTGCTTTGTGTTATGATCTTGTTTCTGCTTTCATGATGTCTTGACACCAACACTCGGTGCCACCGTACCAAGGCACGTGTCCTGGGTTTACCTTCTTTTATGTACAATGTCTCTGTGTGCTGAATGTGATGCCCACAGTGCCTGTATGAATAACAGCCATTTTAAATTTAATGTTGAGGTGTGATAAAACTAATAATAGTTGGAACTGGGCACTGACATTTTTGGTCAAGTATTTATATTGGGGCATTCTGGTTCTCATTGAAGCCCTACTTTTTAATGGATTTGCATCTTCCTTCAGATATTATGAGACATCAGCTATGAGCGGGGAGGGCATTCTTAGGATGTTCTGTGAAGTTCTGGAGGTGGCTTCGGCCAATATTTCTAAGGACCAGAGTGGCATTGCGGGAACATGAGCTTCCAGGGCTTGCTTCAACTCCGCTCCACAGATTAAGATTGCAATATGGCAGAATTTCTGCACTCGCCCCAGTGCTAAGAAATTGCATCAAAATGAAGACAACATTGAGCCAACTGCCTGAGAACATCTCAGGTATGAGCTTTGTTGTAATGGGGCCTTGAACAGATGCTGCAAGTATAGCAGAAATGACCATTTCATGTGGTACAGTCGGAGAAACCTCAAGGACTGAACTGTATTTAACGATACAGTGGATGTGTGCGCTGTATTGCCAATACGGGTACTACCCACTCACTGATTGAGGAGAGGCTGCATGACGGGCACCTGTGTCAACTAGGTTTTCGGTGCCGAAACACAGAGGTTACATTCCTGTGAAGATCGGTTCTAAGTGCTCTGCACAATGGGCTAAAGCACCTGTACATGCCCATGCATATGCGATGTGTCACCCCAAAAGCATAATCTTGACTTCTTGGCAGTTTTTTGCACAAAAGAAATGTTTCGCTGCAGTAGCAGCTCACAATAAAATACAGACTTTTTGTTTAAATCTGCCGTCAGTTTCTCCCAAGTCTGGAGCACTCTGTCTAGCAAGTACCTTGAACTTAGATTTTGTACATTTATTTCGGGTATGAGCATCATGGCTCTTGAGGAGTGAACAATGCTCAGATGTATGTACCGTTGACTCCCATTATAAGAATTAAGAACACCTATAACATACGTGTACTCTTATAAAGAACAAATTCTGAGAATCCCAATTTCTTGAATTCTAGTGTTTTTGTTATTTACTCCTTTTGTAACAAAGTCTTGGTCATAGTAATTTGTTTGGTCCCTGTAATTATAAAAAGAGTTAACTGTATAGAGATGAACCTGCGTTCAATATTTTTTTTTAATCTGGCTTAAGAATAGGTTGAGGGGGTGAAATTTCACACGTGCGGTTCAGATACAAAAATAAATTTGGGCATTGACACATTATGGCATTACACTGACTCGGTTTATTCTACATGAACAATTCAAACAGAATACGGTGAAATATCACTCAGATGGAGTTCTTGTCAAACATGCCAAAGACATTTTTTACACCTATTTTTGCTGAAACAACCTAGAAACTAATATACATTTAAATATACTACACTGCTGCAACATGCAATAGAGGATTTGTATGGAAGCCATCTTGCCGGGCAGTTCTTTTGTTCCACGGGGAAACCTCCTTTGTGCATACCCTGACTGGATGCAAGATGGCAGCCATGCAAACCCTCTACACTGATGCACATATAGACGCAAGTTTTGATCAAACCAACATGTAAGAAACCCTGTTTAAGCTTATCAAGTATTTTTTATACTGGACAACATTACACCAAACCTCTGTAGTAACTTGGGCTTTAGACATGTCCGACTTTGTTTTAAGTTTAGCCTCACATTTGGATGGATGACATGCAACAGTGTTTTCCCGAGTTAATTCCCCAAGAATATCCCGGTACATAGACTGTCAGTGTAAAATTCCACCTTGACCAATACAAATAGGCAGTAGTCAATTGCCAAAGTGCACGTGCCCTCAGGTCGAGACAGCTCCGTGAGTGAAGATGGCCCCCCGGAATGGCGTCTTATCGGATTTGTCCATACATTTGTATAATATTATACTCCATCCTCATGCAGTTTTTAGCAATGTTGCAACTTTTAAAAAATCACAAAACATGCATACCATCCTAAGTAAAGAGATTAGCTTCACAAAGAAAAAATTGCCCGCTCCAGTAAATACTTTAAAATTGGATCAGGGCAACCACAAACTCAAAAGGTGAAATGTTCCCAGCCCAACCATTCTTTTCTCCTATACCCACCCTCCATAAACTTCCTACAAAGAGAAGGTTATACAGTGGAATTTTGGGTGCTCTCTCTCTGAGCTGCTATTTGTCATACCTCTCCCTTGAATACTGCTTTTCATTGGCCCAGAATGATCTTGAGACAGGGCCAAAAAAAATCATGTCACACTCACAGTTGGATATGACACCAGCCGGTCTTGTATGTTATCGTGCGTATGCACCCCTGCAGTGTGCAGGATAATGCAGGGACTGCTAACCACTAATGTTCACCAAGTACCTTGCTGCCCTTAATTTCCCTTGGGTAAAAACAAGTGAAAAACATTCAGAACGATATATGAAAAAAGACTAGTTGACTGTTTGCTATGGGTGCTATGTATCCCCTTGGGGGTTCAAAACGTTGTATCCCGCATCACAGCAAATCTGCAATTGTTAATGACAGACGTAATTATGAAACATGAGGACTTGATTTTGGCCTGCCCCCTTACACTCTCACAAATTTTGACGTGTGTCATATCTATCATTCCTGCTTCAAATTTTCTGACATCTCTGAAGCTGTGACGCAGATTGGGCAGTGTTGTAACTATGTACGTCCATTGCACAAGTCGCTCACAAATCAACCACTTGCAAGCTAATGTGGAACTGAGGCCAAACCTGTCCTTGCCACGGGTCATCCCATTTTCTCGTGAGTGAAATGTGAAAGGACTTGCGATAAGGATTTGTGACTACCACACTGATGTCATGAAAGCTCATGTGCCCCAGTACCAGGACAGCTCTGATCGTTAGCACCTCTCAGAACCCCCCCCAAAAATCTTGGCAATAAATATGCTTGTCTCAGTCATTGTCACTGCTGTCTGAGTCTCGTCTCTTCTTTCGTTTGTGGTGTTTCTTGGATTTCTTCCTCCGCTCTGAGTGGGACTTCTAAGACAGAAAAAACAACATCATTGAAAATACCAGTGGATTCGAACTCGCATTTAAATTGACCAGCATTGCGTCCAGTTTTATGAGCACTGTTTCTTTCCCCCTTTCTTCAGTGAGGGTAAATCACTAAAACCTGCCCTGATCTTGCAGTACATCACAGCTTTTATAGGAAATGCTGCATATGCGCATGCGTTTCTACCCAAGACACTCTGGCATGTGTGGAGCTGAGGCTGCCTTCTGAACTTAGACTAATCAGAGGGTGGACATTTACCGAGGGCTTATCACTTTCATCGTCTGAGGAAGTGTAGTCGTGTCGTCGCTTCCTTTTCTTCTTTGTCTTCTTGCTCTTCCGTCTTTTTTCCCTTCTCTGTTAGTGAATGTGCAGCGACGCATGTTGTGGTGTGTGTAGGAGAAGAAAGGAAGGGGGAAAACTATGAGTTTGTGCCATCGCAAAAAATACCGGACGGTGTGAAATGGATTGAGGAGCAAATAATGACTGTTTTTCTCATAACCGCAGTGCAGACATACTATAAATAGACCTATGTACTGATGATGTCACACTTTGTCTAAATGGGCATTATCCTATGGAGCCAGTGGGGGCCCGAGCAGAGTAGGAAAAGACACACATAAACAATGTTTGTCCACTAAAGAAGCGTCTCCTATGTTGGAACATTGTAGAATGTTCCAGCAAGAACACTGTTTGTTGTGATTGGGAAACTCCTACAGTTCAAACATTGGAACAGCTGTTGATACTAACGGCAGGCTGTATTTGGGAACGTATGGAGTTTTGCCATACTCCCCTCTGCTTAATGTGTCCACTACATGCTCCTGCTGAATGCATACTTTGTGGAATTTTGGACAGAAACAAACGTTTTTCCCAAATCACTCCCAGTTTCTGTCTTTATCTTCCGACTTCAATTTCATGAATTCGGTCCACTGAGTTGTCAGCCTTGAGCTCACCACTGCTCAACTTTCTGCTGCAGACACACCCAGTTGTCCATAAACACGGAGGCCATAGTTTGGAGCATGTTCCTTTGGTTCAAACTTTCAAGTAAAAATTTTTTGTAGGTAAGAGCTTGAGCAGGTGGCAAAGACGGGAGATGATGTCAAGAGTTGGGTACTACATCTCTTTGACTTTGCAGGTGTGAACTGATACCCCATGGATTCTAGGTGACACTGTGTAAGACGATGTGGTGAGTGCAATTTAAATGCCTCGTGCTCATCATACACCCAACTTCTCTCTTCTTATTCGTGCGACGTGTGGGTACCTTCTGGAATCCTAAAAAAATCCTGCACTGTATGGGAAACCTAATACATTCTATGCACTCAAAACCTTTCAAGGAGCATCAAGCTGCATGTACAGGTCAAGTGACAGTGGAAGGCCACTATATAACTTCCGTGAAACCTCCTAGTGGATTCTTAAAGCAATCTGAGTCGATGGAGGGGGGGGATTCATGCTTACCTCTGCTTCTGAATCTTGCTCACTGTCGGATGACGATGATGAAGATGCGGAAGAGGAAGGGGAGGAAGACTTGAAAAAAGAAACCCAAACGGCCGCGAGCAGAAAAGAAGCAAGCAGACATGTTAAATATTGTTCGCTGTATAATTCAGATGCCAACCCCACCCCCTGCCATTACAATCTTGTGGAGATGTAATTGTACATTTTTAATGAGGCATGATGAGAAATGTCCACATTAATGAATTAAATGCTAATTACACCGATAAATTGACCTGTCCAACACAAAGACACAACAACAGATAGCAAGTGGGTAAATGCCTTCTGTAATCAACAGCATAGCTTCAACTCAAACAGACTTCATTTTCCTTTTTTGTAACTTGTTGAATATCTATCTCTTTGTGAAATTGTCCGAGTTTCCTTCGCGGTGCTTGCCTTTAGTCAAGGCATGAGGGGAACCTCAGATGCTGGCAACATGAAAGAAAGACTGGTGGCAATGGCGAACTCATGTTTTGCCTTTACTCTCTTAGAATCGTGACAGGAATCATGCATATTGCAGATGCAATGTATGTCTGAGCCAATCATTTCCCGAACGAACATGAAAAATTCTACATCTCTATTGTTCAATGTCCACAACAGAGAGTGCATGAAGTGTGAAACTTATCAAGCAAACTAGTACAGAAATGGAAAGTAAAAGCAAGTCTTGTCTTCTCCCCGAGATAGTAAAGGCAGCTGTGGTTTCCCCATGTGCAATATACTTTTTTCACACAGCTAGCCTCTGAAGCGCCATATACACCTCAACCAAAAGCTACCCTATGCATGATTATTACCCAGCGCTATGAACTCACCCTCTCCCGTTTCCTCTTCTTTCCCCGCTTCTTCTAAAGCATCAAACAGAGAGAACAAAATGCAATGCAAATATGCAATTACCCAAAAATCATCACTTCCCCTTTAATAAAACAAAAACTCAGACATGCATTTGTAAACAGAAGCTAATTAACTACTTGTAAAATGGGCATCCTACAAGCATTTGCTTTGCACCCTGAAGGGGTCGGTGCCACAATATGACTGTTACTCAATCAGTGCTGTAACACTACTCCATATGACTTGCCTCTTTCTTTTTCTTCTTGGACTTGTTCAGCACCCGCTCTCGGTCTCGCTTCAGGTCCTCTCTGAATTTCTGGAAAAGCCAATAAAATCAAACGTATGACACACTGTGACACAGGGAGTGGGAGATTGGAGTGTGAAGGGGTTTGGATCAAAACTTG